GGGGCTGGTCGCCACCATTCTAGGACTGGAGCACGCGGCAGGACAGCCCCGGCAACACGTGGACCACATCGCGGCGCCAACTACCACCGTTCTTCTCAGATGGCCACCGCCGAGCAAAATATTCAAAATTATATGCAAAGTATTCAAAACATGGCGAAGTATTCCGAATAATCGAAAGCATATTCAATCCGCCAGCCCCCTTGTGGGGCCACCAGGCCATAGGCTGGGGGTTTGCTGTTCCCTGCGCCAGTTCCAGCTTCCAATTTCCACTGTTACAGTTTTGCTTCTAGTTTGATTACTGTTCCTTGTTGTAGACCGCGCGAAGGGGGGGAACCGAAAATCAGCATGGTTAGCGTCTCCTGGGGGGGTCTCTGGGCGTGCGACATATAAAAATACATGTTTGTTTGCACCCCCGAGGCAGTAACCCCTCGCAAATTACACATATTCGCGTCCCCGAAACCATAAACCTTCGTGAATTACACAAGATTCGCGTCCCCGAACGCTGGCAAATTATGCAAATGCTCGCATCCCCGAAGCCCTAAACCCTCGTAAATTACGCTAGGGCCGCATCTCCGAAGCCATAAACCTTTTTGTAAATTACTCGATAGTTGCGTCCCCGATGTAACAAGTGGCACGTGTGCCATAGCCCTTGCACAAAAAGGAAGGGGGAGGAGGAGGAGGAGGAGGAGGAGGAGGAGGAGGAGGAGGAGGAGGAGGAGGAGGAGGGGGAGGAGGAGGAGGAGGAGGAGGTGGAGGAGGAGGGAGGAAGAGGGGGCAAGGCATCGCCCTCTGGGCCCAGCAACGGGGCCCAAGTCCCAGGTGGGGAGGGTGGGGGAGGCGGCGTGCGTCGCGACGCGGAATAAAGTGCTCGGAGCGGAGGGAGCACGGGGCGGAGGTCCCACTGGGGCGCTGGGGGCGCGGAGAGGAGGGGTGGTGGTGTGTGCCGCGACGCGGAATAAACTGTCGGGGCGGAGGGGGCACTGGGCGGGGCTTGGGGCAGAGGGCCACGGGGCGGGGGTCCAACTGGGGCGCTGGGGAAAGGGGGGGAAGGGGGGGAGGTGGCGTGCGTCGCGACGCGGAATAAAATTGTCGGGGCGGAGGGGGCACGGGGCGGAGTCCCCACTGGGGCGCTGGGGACGCGGGGAGGGAGGTGGGGGAGGTGGTGTGCGGCGCGACGCGGGATGAAGCGTTAGTGGCGGAAGGGGCAGTGGGCGGGGCCCCCGCTGGGGCGCTGGGGACGCGGGGGGGCTCGGGGCAGAGAACCACGGCGCGGGGGTCCCACTCTGGCGCTGGGGACGCGGAGGGGGGGGTGCGACGCGTAATACAGCGTTCGTGTCGGAGGGGGCAGTGGGCGGGGGCCCCGCTGGGGCGCTGGGGACGCGGTGGGGCTTGGGGCAGAGAGCCACGGCGCGGGGGTCCCACACTGGCGCTGGAGACGCGGGGGAGGGGGGGGAGCTGCGACGCGGGAGAAACCGTTCGTGGCGGAGGGGGCAGTGGGCGGGGCCCCCGCTGGGGCGCTGGGGACGCGGTGGGCTCGGGGCAGAAAGCCACGGCGCGTGGGCCTCACACTGGCGCTGGGGACGCGGGGGGGCGGGGGGGGCGACGCGGGATAAAGCGTTCGTGGCGGAGGGGGCAGTGGGCGGGGCCCCCGCTGGGGCGCTGGGGACGCGGGGGGGCTTGGGGCAGAGAGCCACGGCGCGGGGGCCCCACTCTGGCGCTGAGGACGCGGGGGGGGGGGGAGCGACGCGAAATAAAATGGTCGGAGCTCTAGACACCCTGTGCAACAGAATAAAGTGGTCGGGGCGGAGGGGGCGCCGCGCTGGGTTGGTGGCTGCGGGGAAAAGGGGGTGGGGAGGGGGCGACGAGACGCCCGAAATAGTGGTCCGGGCGAAGGGCGGAGCGCGCTGGGGCTGCTCGGACGAGGGGCGACGGGGGGGGGGGGGGACGAAACGACGCCGAAATAAGCGGTCGGGGCGGAGAGGGCGGGTGTGCTGGGCTGCTGGGGAAAAGGACAGGGGGGGGCGACGACGACGCCGTAAATAAAGTGGTCGGGGCGGAGGGGGCAGCGCGCTGGGCTGCTGAGGAGAGGGAGAGGGGGGGGCGACGACGACGCCGAAATAAAGTCGTCGGGGCGGAGGGGGCGGTGCGCTGGGGTGCTGGGGAGCGACACATAGCGACACATGTCGACACAACGCCCGAAATTGGGCGACGACGACGCCGAAATAAAGCGGTCGGGGCGGAGAGGGCGGTGCGCTGGGCTGCTGGGGAAAGCGACACACGTCGACACAACGCCGAAATAGGGCGACGACGACGCCGAAATAAAGTGGTCGGGGCGGAGAGGGCGGTGCGCTGGGCTGCTGGCGAAAAGGACCGGGGGGGGGCGACGACGACGCCGAAATAAAGTGGTCGGGGCGGAGGGGGCAGCGCGCTGGGCTGCTGAGGAGAGGGAGAGGGGGGGGGGTCGACGACGACGCCGAAATAAAGTGGTCGGGGCGGAGGG